AAGACCGGAAAAACACCACGTCGAGCAGAGTTTTTCATCGAGACTCGCACAAAACCTAATGGAAGCTTTGTATGTGAAGAAGCAAAAGAACGCGCGGTTAGTTTTATTTACAAAATTTGTTGATTAATGAGTTGATGATACTAGATATTTATTTGTTATTTGTTTATTAGGAAGCTCTTACTGTATTGTTGAGCCAAAATCCGCACAACACAAACAATGTTACAGCTAGCTTGGACGATGAATATGCTCAAGTTTTTGGTCCAGAGCGTCCAGGACGAGTAAGATGTGTTGGTCGTGGACCTACACCTTCAAAATTAGTGTGCCGCTCAACTGCAACTAGACCTGATATAGAAAATTCTGAAATGGTTGTTGAGCTGAAGACACAAGTGAAAGAGTTATCAGATCAAGTCAAGGGAATGACTACATTCATTCAGCAAATAATTGGTACTTCAACAGGTGAACAGGTAATAATATCATTTATTAGTTAAATTACATGATTATACTTTGTTATATATAATTGATATATTAACTAAATACTTAGGCAAGAGCATGGGCTGCAAGTTTTGCTGTTGCTTTTGCTAACATACCAGATCCAACTTTTGCCAACATACCAAACCCACCTAATCCAGATCAGGTAAATGTAATTATATTTTACTTATACTACATAAATGCTCAGAGGATTAACATATTTGTTGTATAAATGTATCTTAGGAAAAAGAGTGACTGTGTTGATGGAAATATTTAAGCGGAGGATGTGGTAGCTAGTGCTTTAAGTATTTTAAGTAACTTTGAACTATCTATGTTGTTTGAATTTGCATGATGGGAACTATGTAATTTGCTTTCTAATACATTAATTATTAATTTTCAGTGTATTTAGCTGGTTATTTTATTTTATTTTTATATTTTTTATTTATAAAAATGCAAAATTCGTTTATATTAATGTATATTATAAATATGTAAATAAAACTAATATTTGTATCATTTTGCTTAAGTGAAATCTATTAGAATCATTTACTAAAACTGATATATATTTAACATCATTTGTTTAAAAGTGATTACAATATTTTGGATCGATTTTTGTAGATGATACAATTATTGAAATCATTTAGGAAACTGATATAAATTTAACATCAATTATGTACAAATGATATAAATATTTTAAATCACTTGTTGTAAATGATATAAGTATTAGCATCATTTCCAAAAACTGATATTACTTTAACATCATGTAACAGTAAATGATTTAAATAATTACAATCAATTTATTATACCGACACAAATATTAATATCATTTAGAACAAATGATGTAAATAGTAACATCATTTGTAACAATTGACATATATTNTGATATAAATATTTTAAATCACTTGTTGTAAATGATATAAGTATTAGCATCATTTCCAAAAACTGATATTACTTTAACATCATGTAACAGTAAATGATTTAAATAATTACAATCAATTTATTATACCGACACAAATATTAATATCATTTAGAACAAATGATGTAAATAGTAACATCATTTGTAACAATTGACATATATTTACATCACTTAAATTAATTGATGAAAATATTAATTATTTTTGCATCAGTTGTGAATAAAATGATACAAATTATTTGCATCACCAAAAACTAAGTCATTTATTTAAGTGATGCAAAATGCATTTACATCATTTATAAATAATGCAAATATATAAAATAAATGATTCAAACTAAGCTTTTTTTTGTAGTGTAAGTGCACTAACCTCTAAAAACTATATTTTCTAGAGAAACGAGAACAACTAAGGACTCAAATTTCTCTATTCTCCATATTTATTCAGTACATGATGCAACATTCATTAAAACAAAAATATCATATTTTCTAATTTATGTTGAAATATGTAGGTTAACCCATATAAAAATATCAAGTGTTTCGATAAATGTTATGTAGAGGCCTTATTAGTTTTGTTTAAAATAGCCTAACCACTTTCAAAAATTTTATAATATACTAAGATTATGTTCATGGTACATAAACATCAGCTTTAATGGTAAATGAACATTAGTTATAATTTTTCAACGAGTAATTTAATAAAACTTCATATGCCACATAAATTAAATAACTAAACCCTATGAAATCTCTATATTCTTTGGGACAAATAGGTGTCAGGCATCCTTAATCTTCATCATATAGTTGTGCTCAATGCATCTATGCATTAAAAGAAACGTATCATATTTTCTAATTTATCTTGAAATCTGTTGGTTAACCCCAACAAAAAGATCCAATTTTGCAATAAATATATACTAAAGATTAAGCTATTTCATGTTAACTAAAAATACTAATCACATTATACATTTTTATTGATGTATGTTAAATTTATTGTTAGGGTATATGGACATCGTTTCTATTATTCTAGTGAGTAATTTAATAAAACTTCATATTTCACCTAATTATGTGGACCAATCCTATAAAATCTATAATTTTTATCGAAACGAGGACAAATAAATTGTCGGACCTCTTTAATTTTCATCACATGTCAGTGCATGATGAAGTTATACATTAAACAAAAATCTCATATTTTCTAATTTATCTTACAAAAATATCCAATTTTTCCAATAAATGCTATATATACTAAAGTTTAGCTTCATTAATGTTATTTTTAAAATATCAAACCACACTTTAAATCTGTATTCATGTATACTAAACATATTTGCATGGTACATGAGGATCATTTCTAATTTTCCAACGAGCAGTTTTTTTTGAAATTTAGATATGTCCTAATTAGTATACTAATCCCTATAAAATCTCTATTTTCTAGATGAATGAGAACACTTAAGATCTTATATCTCTTTAGTCTTCATACTACGCCAGTACATGATGTACCTATGCATTAAAACAAAAATATCATATTTTCTAATTTGTCTTGAAATAGATAGGTTAACCTCTACGAAAAAATTGAATATTCTGATAAATGATATCTATAATATTTAGTTTTTTAGTGTTGTTTAAAAATACCTACTCACACTCTCAATATATATATATATATATATGTATGCTAAACGTATATTCATGGTACATGAGCATCAGTTCTAAGTTTCAATTGAAAAATTTAATAAAACTCTCTATACCACCAAAATCAATGAACTAAATTCTATGAACTTTTCATTTTCTAGAGAATGTTGGACAAATAAGGTATCAAAACGCTTTGATATTCCTACTATAAATACAAAATTTTCATATTTTTTAATTTATCTTAAAATATGTGGCTTAACCCTTATGAAAAGATCGAGTTTTTGTGATCAATGCTATTTGTACTAAAGTTTGGTCTCTTTAGTGTTGTTTAAAATATACAACTACAGTAAAAATTTATATTAATGTATCTTAAATTTATTTCATGGTACACAGACATTAGTTATAATTTTCCAACGAATAATTTAATAAAACTTCATATGCACATAAATCAAAGAACTAAACTTTATGAAATCTCTTTATTCTAAAGAAATTAGGACACAAAGGTGTTAGAAATCCTTGATTTTCATCATATATACATGTGCTGGATGCATCTATGCATTAAAAGAAAAGTTCCATATTTTCTAAAAAATTTTGAATCTATGGATTAACTAACCCCTACAAAAAGATTGAATTTTTCGATAAATGTTGTATACTAAAGTTTATGATATTTCATGTTAGATTAAAAAATACTTAATCACATTATACATTTTTATTCTTGTATTTCAAACTTATTTTCTAGCATATGAGAATCATTCTAATATTCTAGTGATTAATTTAATAAAACTTCATATTTCACATAATTTTGTGGGCTAACCCCTACAAAATCTGGAATTTCTATTAAAACGGGGACAAATAAGGGGTCAGACCTATTTAATTTTTATTACATGTCAGTGCATAAAGAAGTTATGCATATCATATTATCTAATTTATTTTACGAAAATATCCAATATTTTCTAATAAATTCTATATAACTAAAGTTTTACCTCATTAATGTTGCTTTAAAAATACTTAACCACACTCTAAATTTATATTCACATATTCTAAATATATTTTCATGGTACATGAGCATGATTTTTAATTTTCAAACATGTACTTTTATAAAAATTCAGATACATCCAAATTAATGGACTAACCTCTATAAAATTATTATTTTCTAGAAACACGAGAATACCTAAGGTCTTAAAACTCTTTAATCTTCATACTATGTCATATCATGATGTAGCTATGGATTAAAACGAAATTATCATATTTTCTAATTTATTTTGAAATATGTGGGTTAACTCCTTCGAAAAAATGAATTTTAGCCTCTTTAGTGTTGTTTAAATATAACTTATCAGACTCAATATATATATATATATATATATATATATATATATATATATGTATGATAACTTACTTTCATTGTACATGGGCATCATTTATAATTTTTCAACGAATAATTTATTTAAATTTTATATACCATCTAATAAGTGTACTTACCCTTATAAAAACTCTTCTTTTCAAGAGAAACATGAATACCGAAAATCTCAAACCTCTTTAATCTCCATATTATTTCACTGCATGTTGGAGATATATATTAAAACAAATACCATATTGTCTAATTTATCTTGAAATATGTGGTTAACCCCTACAAAAAGACTGATTTTTCCGATAAATGTTATATATACTAACCTTTAACCCTTTTTTAAAAAAAAATATCTAATCACATTCAAAATTTATATTAATGTACTATACTTATGTTTATGGTAAATGGACATCATTTCTAACTTTCAATCGAGGAATTTATTAAAACTTTATATACCACCAAAATAAATGAACTAAACCCTATAGAATCTCTATTTTCTAGAGAAAAAATGACAACAGTATCAGAACTCTTTGATATTAATCTTATATCAGTGATGGACGCAGATATTAATATATACAAAAGTTTCATATTTTCTAATTTATCTTGAAATATGTGGGTTAACTCCTACGAAAATATTTCTCAATAAATGTTATTTGTACTTAAGTTTAACCTCTTTAGTGTTGTTTAAAATATCTAACCACAGTAAAATTTATATCAGTGTATCCTAAATTTATTTTCATGGTACATGGACATCAGTTATAATTTTCCAACGAGTTCATATACCACGTAAATCAAAGAATTAAACCCTATGAAATCTCTATATTTTTGAGAAATTGAGGTAACAAAGGTGTCAGACATCCTTGATCTTCATCACATATGTGTTGGATGCATCTATGCATTAAAATAAATGTATTGTATTTTATAATATATCTTGACATTTGTGGGTTAACCCGTACAAAAAGATCGAGTTTTTGATAAATGCTATATACTGAAGTTTAAACTCTTTCATGTTGACTAAAAATTAACTAATCACATTAAATAGTTATATCAATGTATGGTAAAATTATTTCATCGTACATCAACATCGTTTCTAATATTTTAATATGTAACTTAATAAAATTTCATATTTCACTTAATTCGGTGGACTAATCATTATAAAATATATTATTTCTATAGAAACAAGGACAAATAAGGTCGTAGACCTATTTAATTTTTATCACATGTCACTGCATAATAAAATGATGCATTCAAAAAATACCATATATTCTAATTTATTTTACGAAAAGATCGAATTTTTTTCCAATAAATATTATATATACTAAAGTTTAGCGTCACTATTATTTTTTAAACACTCTAATATATAGTTATGTATGCTAAACATATTTTCCTGGTACATATACCTCATTTCTAATGTTTCAATGAGTATTTTTTTTAAAAATTGCATATACAACCTAATTAGTGTTCTAACCCCTATAAAATCTTCATTTCTAAAGAAATGAGAACACTTAAGGTCTCAAAAACTCTATAATCTTCATACTATCTT